TGTGACATAATCTGCTTTTGCTTTTAGTTTAATCGTTCAAGTTACTTTGAAAAGTCACATTTTCTGCTTCTTTTCATTCAGGAAATGGATTCTTTCAAATTTCAATTGTCATTTAAGAGTTTGTTTAATGTTAGTTTGGCAAAGAATTGAAATAGCCACAGAAAATTACATTTTCTTTTTTCCATCAATTCGTAGTCGAAGGATCTTGCTGAACCGATGAACTTTGGATTGTTTCAATTGTGAAACATTTCTTCAGGTTAAGATACGAAAAACTTTTTGTTGTAAACTGCTCGGAGTTGCTTCTTCGTTTGAAATATGATTCAAAATCTTTTCGAGTTTAGTTGGAAATGCTCAAAGAAGTTAGAAGTTTCTTGGAAATCGGATTGAGACGAAATCTTTTCTACTTCAGATTCTTTTATCAAAACTTGCAACTTTTTGTGTTTCTTTTTTTATTCACTTTCATGTGTAATTGAATTGAAACTTGTAATCAAGTCGCAATTGATGCAAAACTCAGACTTTTTCATGGTTGATGACATGTTCAGATTGATTAGGTTAACCATTGATGTGTCATGTTTTTGCATGAAACATGAAAATATTGGAATCGAAATGTGGATAAAAAGTTTGAAACTTTTGACAAATTGATGTCCAGTTTGGAACATTGACAATCGAATATGCAATGTCAATATAAATTTGTTATCATAATTTGGATTCTCTTCCAATCCAATAACTTTGACCACTTGTAAAGTGCTCTATCAATTTTGTTTACATCATCTTTTCCTTCTCAATATATTTGGACAGTTTATTTTTAGGCCAACTTTTACTTCCTCTTGTGGTTTCCTGTGATTTAGTGAATAATTTTTTTTCTCAACTTTTCTCATCTTTTCTTTTTCTTGACCAACAAACACATCAATGATTCTTATCGATCATCATTTCAATGAGCATCATCATGATGACTATTACTTACATGATACTTTCTTCTTCTTTTTTTCCTGTTCCATTCTCCATTCACCCTGGGACTCCAATTTGGAAATGAACAAAAATTTCATTCCAAATTGACTTGTGAATAACATTTGAGAAACTGTGAACTCAGAACCATCAACATGATGACCAACAATAAGAATATGAATTGAGAGAAAAAAAGAAAAGAAAATGTCATTTGCAAGAATCTGTTTCATTGAGAAGTGACCATCAGAGTGAGAATTGAACAGAAAAGTTGACAAAATGTTGCAATGTGTTACCATGAAAGTGATGATCAGTTGAAAGTCGAACAATGAAAATGTGTAAAAACGAATATTCAGTGAAGAGAAAATCTGGTGAAAAGAGTTTTCTCATCATTATCATGGTCAACTGGGAATTGAGATTCAAAATTCATGGTAAACTAAAGATTCCAATAAGTTCATTATTCAGCTAATTTTAAACTCTTTCAACTTATCAGTTGACAACTTTTGCCTTTTAATGTTTTCACAACTTTCAAAGTCTTTCAACTTTTCCCTGTTGACATGATATGATTTATTGATATTCAACCTTTTCCAAGATATTTTCATGTAAATCTCTCAATTCTCATTGAACACAATTATCCTTCATTAATGAGAAAAACTTTTTTTTTCTCTTTACCTGAGTTTGCCGTGATTTACATGAGGATTGATGATGCGTCAAGTTGAACCTTCATCGGTTGACTTTGATCATGATTGATTCAACAGATTCGGACAATTGGCTAAAGTAAAACAGAATCGAGTAAACGATCTGAACAAATTGGCGAAAAGAATAAAAGAAAAGTTCAATTTTTCGATTTTTTACATTTCATTCTTGAACTTATTTCTCTTCAATTTTTATTGCTTTCCAATATTAGCTCCAACTTATTACACCGATTAACTGACTAATAACTGATTATGAATTTAAGTGAAAATTCAATGTCATTCACCTGATACTTTGGTCACAAGTTTTGTTGACTTTTATTACCTGAAATCAGTTGAAGTTGGAACAATATTTTCTCATTTCAATTTCCAGTTTCTCTACTTTATTGTTATCGCCAGTCATTAAGAGAAGACAAAATTTATAAGTTTAGGGAAAAAAAATCATTCAATTTACAGATAAATTTCATTTTTGTTCAGTGACAATTTGAGTTTCAATTTAAAACTGCAATTGAATGTCAAGGAAAACTTTGAATATCATTAAAAGTGTAAATTATTTGAATGGTTTAAGTTTTTCAACTGGTTCACCTTTGATGCTCATTTGCACCAAAATTTATTACCTTTCATTAAACTAGTAAATTGAATTAGAATGGAAGGAACCGCAAAAAAATGAATTTAATGATGAAAATTGTGAAGGTTTTTTCTTTGAAAGATTATTAAATGTTAAATTATTAGCATCATAATGGTTCGATGAGATAACAAGGAATTGCTCGTTAAAATTGAAGTTTACCTTTAATCGAAATAATTTATTGCTCTATTTGTCTATTTATTAATATATATTTAGATTGTCAAGTGATAAGTTGATTGATAAATATTGACCCTTGATGGACAAATGAACATTCAGAGTAAATAGTGAATGAAATAAACTGAATAATGAAACTGGGAAATGAGATTTGTGGAAGAACAAGAAAAAAGAAGAAGAAAAAAAAGGATTGGTAAAAGAATCGAAATGAATCAAAGGTAATGATGATATTGATGGTAATTGATGGTCCGTGGACAACAGATGAAATACAAAGCGCTTGACCACACAAAGTTGTACATGTTTGCTTACCCAAATGCATAACCTTTAAAAATGCATTGAAAGTACATTTTGATTGCAAACAAAATGCTGCTGCCCAAGATTCATGGAAAAAAGCATTGAAAGGTAAATATTGATAAGAAGTGGACATTATTTTCATCTTCATTTTCATCATCTGTATTTATCTTGTAATGAGAAGGGCAACATTAAATTGACAGAGATTTAATCATTTTCCGTTTCATTGTTTACCTCAATTAGCGACTGTCGACCGATTACAATTATAAGGTTAAATAGGAAAAGCGTGTGACTTTGGACAGAAAAGCAAAGAAAATCCTTTCTTCTCGTTTCACGCTTTTCTTTACGACCATTAAGTCTAAGGTTAACCCAGACAAGCAACCTTTTCCCATCAATTTTCATTCATCCAACAGCCTTTACCGTTAACACTCTTAACGGTCTAAATTGATTAACCAAATCACACAACAATCTTAATCACTTTTCTCACTGTTGACCCACGAGTAGAGTTTTAATTCAAACTAATTTACCAAATTTTTCCCTTTTTGTTGTAAATTCATAAATGGTTATTTATTGCAACTTTAACTCACTTGGAGCCTTCCAACTGTTCAAGGGAAACCTTTTTAACCAAAATTCAAGCTGAGTTGAAAGATGATATTTTAAATGGAAGTTGTTCTTGAAAATATTTTCATTGTTCATCATTGGAAATGAACTTTATCTGGATGCCCAAAAACATAACCCAAGGTCAACAATGGAACCCCTGAAATTGGACCTTCCATTACCTAATGAACCCTTGTTGACCCTGTCAAGGTTCCGTTATTTGTTGATCCATTAACGACGCTTTAATGGATCGAGTTGAGAAAGCTTTTTACTTCAATAAACAGTTCAAATTTTCACTCGAACTGAACAAAACTTTTCTCGAGTAATAATCGCAATTTAAATGAGCGATAAAGATCAGTTGAGCCATTATTCGGTTTCAAAGTTCTTTTTCTTCGAATTTCACATCTTTTTTTCTCTTTGCTCTCCTCTGATTCTTATTAAGATACTGAGAGATGAAAGGTTCTGTCGAAATGAATGTGAATCATGAAAGAAAAGAAAAATTTCATGAAAAATATTTTTCTCCAAAAATATTATCATCAATCAAAGCACTATACAAGTAACTGCTTACTGTTAACTTGATCCATTTTTTGCTTCTCTTTTTTTTCATTTCCGAACTCATTCATCTTGATCTTTCTTTCTTCAGGCTTCTTCGCTTTCGAATCTTTTTTTATATCCTTTTCCATCCGATAACTTTCCCTCCCTTTCATCCAAACCAATTTCTCCATCGCTTTTCATCTTCAACAGAACAACACATTTTTTCTTCTTCTCTCATGACTTTTGCACTGGATAACCTTATGGTTTACCCTTTGCCCAACAAATAACTTTATACCTTCAGTCGAAACTTTGTTTTCAAATTTTCCATCCTTTGCTTTTCCATGTCAATCATTTCATGAGAAAATGAAAACAAGTAAAAATGAATCAACAGAATGAGTTGAGGCAAAACCAACGATAATAATGAACTCTTGGCAACTCTTCATCGACTTCAAGTCAATTCCAAAACTGATAATCAAGATTAATTGGTTGCTTCGAAACCAGAAAACCCGAAATGCAAGTTGAAAGCAAATCTTTCCAACATTTCCATTTTTCGAATATGAAATTCTGATGAATCAGAAAAATTATCGAAGTCGGTTTAAGCCTGAAATCGTTGGATTATTTTGCATTGTGAATATCAATTGAAATTGGTTCAGTGATTAAACTTGATTTTAGATGCGAATGTTCATCTTGAGAATGATATTTTCAGAGTTTTATTGTTTCATTGAATGGGCAAGAGAAGCATGAAAATTGTCAAAATTGATTAAAATTTTCCCAACTGCATCATTAGCTTGTTACATTGTTTGGATCGTCATTTTTCAGTCAACAATTACCTTTATGTAGGCTAGTAAAGTACAAGGTGAAACAAACAATGGATCAACTTTGCTCATCTCTTGCGTAAAATGGAAACTCACCTTTTCGCCTTTCATCTCAACTTTTTCATTCTCAACTTAATTGACCGGAAACTGATTCGCAAGATTCACCTTTATTTTTTCCATCTTCATCTTCAACCTTTTGTTTCACATTCAATTGAAAACATTTTTGAGAAAAAAAGCTCAGAGAATCTGAAAAGTGTACAAACAAAACCGATTTTCAATTTTCTGTCCAAGTAAATGGTTAGGAACGTTTTAAAGTATTATTTTGATTTGCTATTATTGTCTTCTTATTGTTTGTTAAGCAGTAATTTATCAAGTTTTCATTTTAATACAATAAGGCGTTTTGGTGAAAAAAAGATGATTCATTTTCATTGAATGAACAAATAAAGAATCAAGTATCAATTGATGATAATGAATATGTGAGTAAATTGAAAGGTTAAATTCAAGGATTGAATGTTTGTTGTTTAAATAAGCTTTGAATGCGAAATTGAATATTCTTGAAAATATTGGAGTAAAGAGGTTTCCATTTTGAGCTTGCAGGCCTGAAGAAGAGGAGTAAATGAAGAAAAGAAAAACAAAATTTCTCATTTCCTGAATAATTTCTGAACCATTGATACCTTTTTGTGTGACTAAAGTAACATTTTGGTGAACACAAAGCCGCCTTTTCATTTCTCAACTTATTTTCATTATTATCATTATTATTACCGTTTTGTTCACAATCAATCAAGAAATGGTAAGAGAGTAGAAAAAAGAGGCGAAAATTCTTATCCCTGAAATGATAAGTTAAAGACAAGAAGAAGGCGGATAAAGGCGAGTAAAAAAGGAAGTCTATTACAAGTTGAGTTAACTTTCATTGATGAAATTATTTTTTATCTTTTCTTCCATCGAGTAAATAATATCTATTATTATATTTGGTTTAACGATGGTTAAGAGAAGAACACTTTAATTGCGAGAAATTTAACCAATTTTTGCAACAGCTTTTTTCCATTGAGATGAGGGTAGAATCAGCAATCAACTTTCCAGTGGACAAAATTTTATCAGCAAAAGGGTCAAGTTGAGGTTGTTAAATAAACCATTGTAATGCAATAACTGCAGGATGAAGGTAACAGACAAAACTCGACATTTTAAGGTTTAGATGGTGAAGACTTGCTGACAGGAAGGTAGTCTGCGGTTGGGCATGTTAAGGATGTCACAAATCTGGGTTTAAATATATTGGTCCACCAAAAGCATCATGTAATATTCAAAGTTTATATATGTTGACAGCTTGAAATTTGTGATAAACTGGCAGAAATGTAAAAAAAGCCAATTGCAGTCATCCAGTTAAACAATTGTTTTCCTCTTTCAACTTGAGATTTAAAGCTGCCAGTTGAATCTCTAGTCCTGGTGGCCTGACTGTAACCATATCCAACAACTGTACCATTAATCATATAGCCATGTAATAGTTTGAAGACATTAAATTGAATCAGCCTTGGCACCAGCTGTGAAGAGCCTACTGACTGGTCATTGTTACTTGTTAACTGAAAGACAATACACAAAAATGAGTGAAAACAATTGAAACTCATTGAAAAGAAAGCAACTTACCTTTAAAATGTTGATAAAATGAACACATTAACAAATTAATTGACAAAGATTAAAAAATAAAACAGTTAATTAATTGAACAAAGCAAATAGCCCAACAAAAAGCGTCTCATTGAACAACCCTTTTGTTAAAACCTACTGCCCTCTTTTAATCAACTTTACATTTTTTAATTCGCTCTCAATTTGAAACTCGCAGCAATATTTTGCTCATTTTTGTTGACCAATCTTTAAAGTTAAATCTTACCATTCAATTGTTGAGCTTGATTGTGTCCTTAAATGTTAACAATTTATAGACTCATAGCAAGCCATCATTAAGTCCACCTAATGAAAGTAAAGAAAAGAAGAGCAAAAACAATTCAGACAGAATGGCAATAAAGGTTAAAGAAACGAAAAATGTTGATCTTTTTTCCCTATCATCATGTTACAGATGGAGTAATGTCATGAATCCACCCACTTTAATAATTTACCCTTATGATTAGTAAATCATAATAATAATGCCTTAAAGGGCAATTCATTGATTCACTTGGAATATGTTTAAATTTATCTCTTTTCATCATCATCTTCATCACGTACAATTAGTAAATGAAATAAAGTATCATGATAATGACCAGAGTTAGGGTCAAGTTGATGGTTAACACACTTTGAATGAAGCTTTGGTAATGGTCGAGTGGTTAAAGGTGTGAATCTTCACCTAAATACAAGTCGCTCTTCTTGTCTCATTGAGCTTCAATGAATTTCGCCAAATATTAAACATTCATTTCACTAAACAATAGAAACAAATGCAAAATCAATCGAAACTCTGGCTTCTATTGGACGAACAGAATAACATGAAATGTTCAAAAAGAAGAGCCAACATTGTGATCGATCTTTTTCAACACCTTTACATATGAAAAGTTCAACTGTTGATTGATTCCAATGAAAATGGTTTTGCACTATCGATTGGTATAAATGGTTACAAAGGTTGAATGAGACTGAACCTTTAACTTATCGTCGGCAAATTTGTTCACACAAATCAATCATGTTTGATAAATTATCTCAATATTATCGTAAAGTACAAGAGTGAAAATATTGAATCAGCAAAAACAGATTGAAGAAGAAGAAGAAGAAAAAAAAGAAACAAATTTGGGCAAAAAAGAAGCGAAAACCAGATTCCTTCTTGGCTCAACCGTTTTCATCCTAAAAATCATTTCAAATTATATAAATAAATTGGATGAAATAAGCGCAAAATTAGCTTCCATAATTTGACTCGATTTTGATCCGACAAAACTGATTACTTTGATTAAATCATTTGGATTGCTCATTATTGACCTTTTAAAGCTACATTCTGAGCTTTATCAATAATGCATCATTGAAACCTTTTAATCAACCAGCATTTTGCTTTATCAATTATCAGGAATCATTTCAAGTTAAACTTCTTCTGCCATTTTCATATCAATATTTTCAGTTTTTTGGAAGAAGAAAAAAAAATCCTTTTTTCCCACTTTTCCAGATGAAGTTTGGCGAAACATTATGCTCATTATGTAAGGCTGCAACATTTCCGTTTCAAATTAACTTTCCAATTTCAACTGTAATCATTTAACCAGGATAATCACTCGAATCAATCAAACCATCAGTTGTACATCAATAACAGAGTTAAATGAAGCTCGTAATCCTCTTAATCCAGAGTAAAGATTAGGAAAGGAAAAGAAGAACAAGAAATTTTCAGTTGTTGCCCTGTCAGTTCAGCTAATAATTCAACTTTGCACACTCACACAGAAAATGGTAAATAGGAAAAACATTTCATTGACCGGAAGATGTTGGCAAAAGAAACAAAAAATGGAGAAAAAATGGAAAAAAGAAAAAAAATTCAACCCAAAAGCTCGTAAACAAACCAAAAAACAGAAGCAGTTGTTGTCTCTGACTGTGACCCAAACAGTCTTAGACGTACCCATTGACTGGAAGCAGACTAGGAGGTCTTTTGTGTAAAGCCTTGCGGCTTCAACTGGTTAACATGTTGATCAATGTTGGTCACTTTGATTCAACAATTGATTTAGACCTTTGCTTGACCTTCTTAACACTTCTATCAACCCCGACTTATTGATTTTGTTTTATAACAAGAGTAATCAGTGAATTAAGGTCAACCCAATTTTCACATCAACCAGGTTTTTTGTTTTCTAATGAAATATTATCCTTAACCTGTCCTCACTTGGTTTCATCTGGATCATTATTTTTATCCTCATCTTGAGTGTGATTAAATTTTGAAAGATTCAATAAGATTCATGTTGAAAGATTGTAAAATTATTATGTCGAGGTGGAGAAAGAAATTGAATAAATTTAAAGATAATTGAAGGAAAACAATTAACTCGCATTGATTACATTTTCACTGTTTATCATTACTGACTTTCATTAAAGATTGGCGATCACGATTAAATTGTGACCCTGATTTGTTCCACTTTTGCTCATCTGATTATTGATAAATGTTTAAAATTGGTTTACCATTTTGTGTCAATAATATCATTTTTCATTCATATTAATGTCAAGTTAATTGAAGATGATCATTTTGCTTTAATAAATTGAAGAGCAAGAAGAGTTGATTGTTTAATAATAGAAGATGAAGAAAAGCCTTTTTTCGCGATTCTCACCATTTCCAATCTCATGTAAAGCTGATAGTTCACGAATTTAAGTGTTACTATCAAAGGATATTAAACAATTCAGGATAATATGAATAGGAAGGGAAAAAGGTGATCTTTTTATTTCTCTTCTTACTGACAAACATCAACAGAACCACAACAAGCAATATCATCATGATTATATTAGACATGGAATGCATGATTATATTTGAATAAATGGATATTACCTCTAATAAAATGTAAATTTGTGAGAGTAAAATTTATTTTTATTCATCTAATAGCAGCCAAAGCAACCTTTCTCAGCCTTTCCTTGGTCCATTTACATTCAACATGGTCCAACTATAATACAACACCTTCAACTGTTCATCTCCATAAATTCATTCACATGTACAATATGTAATAAAAAAAGGCAGCCTTGTTTTCTTTGTAGGTGTTGCTGGTCTCATGAATTTCATTTAAATCTAATTATAGCTTACAATTACCTTTCTGGTTTGCCAGGTAAAAGTGTTAATGTTGAAAAATGGTAAAATTAAATTAAACTTTGAAATGCGCGCTCGCCAAATTTAATCAAAATCCAACAATCACTTTCCCTCATTTTTTGCATAACATGTGTTTTACTCTCTTCGGTTAATTACTGTTTTTAATTTTTCCTTCATTCTTCTTTAGTTGTTAATCATTCTGTTTTAACTTGTGATTATATTTGATTAGTTTTGTTTATTAATGCTGTAATTGCTACTTTTACAACTCTTCCTTGCCCTTTGTTTTGAAAACTAATGTAACCGCCTTAGACTCAACTGTAGACCTGTTGCCTCGTCTTCTGGATGTTGGTTAACTCATGTTTATTTCATTTTTAGACATTTTGGACTGATTTTGGTCGTTAATCTGTTGGTTATTGGGTTTTCAAGACTGGTTAATTTAATGGACAAATCTGGTCAAATTTGGAAGACAACTTGATTACTTCAAGATGATCACTTTGGACCCTACAATGGATTTTTGGTAAAGGATTTATAATCTCGTCCATACAATGATTAATGATTCAATTTTTGGCTGATTCTCAATGATACTAACTGATTTTACCACAACTTTAGCCTTTTGATTTCGTGTTTGTCCTGGAAAAGATTTCGAGTTTCTCTTCCATTTACAATTAAGGTAACACTTCACTCTTTTTAATGCATTAAACAAGTTGAGAAAAATTGTTGATTTTCTTCTTTTTTTCGTCTAATTTTAGGTCTCGGAATAATTTGTCTCTGTTATCTTTGAAAGTTGCCATTAGTCCTTTGGGAATCGTGAGTTGAAAAAGTGCTCGAAAGGTTCACTTTTGAATTATATAATATTATTATTTCAATTAATTAGTCTGAGCGAAGCAAAGACTTATAATTTCCCTCCCTATACTACCAAAATTTCACCTTTTTTAAACATTATCACAGCAACCATTCAACTCACTACATTCAAACTTACGATATCTCATCACACAAATCTGAAGAATTTCTGGCAGGATTTTTTTCGTGAAAAAAAATGCCCAGCAGGTTTTATAGGCTAAAAAGCGTTTTTTACGAAAATCATCAAGGAGTGCGTAGATTCGCGTTGACGACTTGCGTACTTCCACTGTGTGAACAACACATGGTCTTCTTCACCATCGATACTAAATTTCCGGTTTTGAAACATCCGTTTCCGAAAAAACTGTATAAAAGTCGTTTTTTCTGGAAGTCTGTAACACTTCATTCTACATTTTTGTTCAAGTCTTTTTCTTATAAAGCTCTTAATTTTACTATGAAAACTTGAAATAAAAATCGGTTTAGCTGATCAAGTTTATGGTAGAACAAGTAAAACCTATTTTTTCGGAAATTTTCAAAACTTTTTTGTTACAACTTTAAACCATTTGCTTACATTAAAAACAGTGATAATAAGTGATAATAAAGGTACAGTCACCATTGAGAAACTGCACCTCTCTAGAAATAGCTTATTTACACTATTCGTCGGGCAGCGTAATTCATGATTTTCAATCTTCCTTAATAGATCAAATTTAACCTTAAATTTTGTTTTAATCTGATTTTAGAGTTTTTGGATTAAAATTTCACGAAAGAAAATTGAATTAAGTCAATTGATAATTAGAGAAATCGAATCAAAAATCGACGAAATGCAAAACGAGATCAAACTCCTCCTTAATAGGGACCATTGAAAAAATTAAGTGCAGTTTCACAATGGTGCAGTTTCTCAATGGTGACTGTATTCCATCAATCGGAATTTTCTATGTTATATTGCCATTTAGCATGCGGACTAATCAAATTTTCAAACCCTCAGAATTCAGTCTCCTTATTCCTCTGCACGCTCGCTCAGACTACGCCGCTTCACGGCTGACCTAGTTTAATGATGAATCTATTTTCTTGCCTTCTTTCTCACCCTTAATCTTCAACTAGATTGACAATATTTCAAGACTGTCCTACTCCAAATTGGCCCAAATCAAACATTACTCTGAATTATTGATGAAAATTGATGAAACTGATTATGATTATACTGGTGAGTTATGGAGCTAATTTTTCTCCGACATCATCATTACCAATAGAGAAAATAATCTTTGTCTATCTTTTCCAGTTCGAGTCTATTAATAGTTACCATAAATTGACTTATGATGAATTGTTCTGCAAATGAAGCTGGACCATTCTGAGTTGCTTAATTTTTCAATCTTGATCCAACATCTCATTCATAACATCTATCCTTTCATGAAGGTAAACCTCTTGCACTTTACATGGTCTAATATACTGATACAGTATTTCTGTTTCAATTTTTGTCAATTTTATAAAAATTGAAAACTAATTTAATTTCCTTTTTTCTATCTTTCTCTTTCTAGAAAGAACTTTTTTCCCTGGAAAAATAATCTGATTAAACTAGCCTGTTCTATCATCGTCTTCGCCTTTTCACTTTTATCACTTGATAATCTTCAATTGACCAGTTCATGTCTGTCAACACTTCTGATAAACAACGCCTTTACTTATGATGTTGATTTTTCTGCTTCCTTCTCATCTTTTCATCCTCATTTTTACCACCAGCATCATCATCTTTGCAAATTCATTGTGACAGGAAATGAACAAGCATATAAGGTTTTATGAAATGATAAAGGTGAAGCTTTGCGCCCAACATTTATTTAAAATTGAAAATAGTGAGTAAAGAAGGAGAAAATTTCACAAAAATAAATCTCAAGAGTAGAAGAGCAAAGGAAATAGCTAAAACTCTTATTGAATTAATTTGAAGTTATCCTTAAGATACTTCATCTAGTTACCTTAGCTGTCAATTTAGGGTGAAAAGATAATGAGAATGATGAGGATAAAGATGGTGATGGCGAAGGTGATGCTGTTAAGAGAAAAGATGTAACTGAATAAGCCAAGAATAAGGTAATGATGATAATGATGCATACAACATGTAAAATGTTGATTTTGTAACTTATAAGTGTTATTATAAAAAATGTGTTGCTCATAATAATAACAACTATAAGGAATGAACTGTGGGTGATAAGGTTGAAGAGAGGATCAAACAAAAGTCTGCCTCAGGTTGAAAAGATGAAAGATGCTTTTTCTTTCTTTCTCTCTCTTTCGAAGTGAAGTCCATGATGTTGGTAAAAATATTGCAGATATGAAAAGCCAGGTAAAACTAGAGACTCAACAAATCAAGACTCGTCATTTTCATGCTTATCATTTGCTTAAATCTTACCAAGGCTTTAAAAGTTAGTACCTGATTGGAGGTTAAACAGCAACAAAGTAAATTGTTAATGGTGATTATGGTGCAGCCAAATGAGTATAAGGTTCAGGTTGAAGTAAATAACTACATGGTCCATTGTTTACATGGACTAATGCGTGACTCGCTTTCTTGTTGAACTGGACAGATGAAAAAAAAAGAACCAACATTCAAGGTAATACAAATTTCTTAACTTATTTTTTTCTGCCATTTCTTTCAAATTTACATTCTTTTTATTTTATTTTCTAGATTGTCTTTTCATCTTTCTCATGTACAAAGGAAAAGGATAAGGTCAATTGTATAGGTAGTCAAGGGGCAGGTTGAATAAGGCGGTTGTTTGTTTTCATCTCAATGATGATGTTAATGATGATTATAGTATTTTGGTTCAAATGTTGAGTAAAAACAAACTTTGAAATGTAAACACCAAAATTGAAAGGGAAAAAGTTGAAGGATGGTTTTGTGATGAGAGGAGCAGAAAAGGATGCAAAAGCTGATGAAAAGTCCAGTAAAAAGGAGCATTTTAAACACACAAATGGTAAATATAAAGGCAAGACAGTTACAAATAACGTCAATTTAAGTAAATTTTCAACAGTTAAATTGATATTATTTTTCACCAATTGACAGAGACTCACACCACTATTCTGGATGGCAAAGTGATGGAAAAGGGATTGAGAAAAGGCCAAATCTAATGGTGTTTGCTGCAAGCTTTTCATTCACTCGAGGTGTTTACTCAAGAGTCGAGTTTGTACAGTTGAACAGCGCAAACCAACACACAGGGAAAAAAGATTCAATGTAAACACAAATTTGAAAACAGGAACCAAAGAAAAAAACATTCAAAATGTAAAGAAACTGGAAAAGGAACAAAAAACTCAACCAAAATCCAACATTCAACTCGACTTCAAACAATCCCATTGATGATGCAAAATTGATTTAATCTTTACATAAAGATGTATTGATTTGATTTCATTTTTTATTTGCTCTCAAATAATGGAAGAGCAAAAAATGTTTATTTTGATGTTGAACCGATTTTTGTTGCTTCAATAGCTTTGTTTTTATATAAAATTGTCATTAAATTGATTCGTGTTGATCAATCAATTTGAGAAGAGTCAATGATTGACTCAATTAAAACCCGTTAACCTTGTCCAGGTTTGGGTGAGTGTTGAGACAATTTGCTTTTATTAACCTTTCCAAGTGTTTAAAAGAGAAAAGAAAAAAGCTGTTAAATTTGATTAAATTTACCATTGAAGTAGTTTGAATGAACAAAAAACTGGACTCACAAGTTACACACCCATTGGTAAACCCGAAAGGTAAAGGTAAAGGTGAAAAGTGTAGCACCAATTTTGACATTGAATCAAAGTGAATCCATCAAAAGCCAATCCCAAATCCTATTCACCTTCTCATCCTTTATCAAACCCTGTCTTTGACTAATCAATTAACCATCTGAAAAGTTACACTTTATCAGATGATTGGAATACTGAGCAACAATTAAGAGATAATTTATTGCTTTTATCAATTATACTTTTCTGAAAAGCAACACCAACCAACGAATCGATTACAATGTGACCATCAAGAGTCGCAATTGTTTTAACCAGAAAAGAGGAAAATCTGTAAATTTAATTTTCTCCAAGTTCGACTGAAATTGATTCGGGAAATAAGTGAAACTCAAGTTTTGTTTGAAATGATTTTCTTTCGCATTTACATGAAAAAGTCACAAATAATTCTGTAAATTATTCAATCAACTTTGAACTTGAATCTTTTCTCATTAAATGTTGCAAAATGATTAATGTTGACTGAAACAAAAGTTGCTTTAATCAACATCGTGATCAACTGGAATTGCAATGAAAAATGAATTTTCTGTGATTTACCTTTTGATTAAAGCAAAACTCAATTGTGTTTGGTTTAATTAAAAGTCTCAATTTGAATGGGAAAAAAGATTCAACTGTGAAACGAAAACAAAGTTAAACCTTTTACCCTGAAATCACCTGTTTTCATGATTACTATTTATATCATTTGAATCAGTTGGGAGTAATTTTGAGATATCATTTTGTCTTTATTATTATTTATTGTAACCCGAAGTTGGATGAAAAGCTCAATGTTTTTTATCGAATCAAAAGATAATTGATTCCATCTGATATTCAATGGAATCATTGATCACTTTTATTGTAGCAAGGAATCACTCTCATGAGTAGAATTATCAATTTTTTTCTCCTTTGTCTGAGATTCGAATTATTTCAACATGGAAACATTTTCTTCCATTTTCATCAAGATTTATTGTCATTGATATTGATGGTCATTCAATGAGAGTCAAATTGTTTTTCAATAAACATGAACATTTGAAAGTTCAATCAACCTGATTGGATTGGAATTACTTTTTTCTACTTTTCCTTTTTGTTCGGTTAAAGTGTCATTATTGTAACTCTCAGTTTCTTCATGACAAAGAAGAACTGATGCATTTTCTTGGTAAAGATTTACATCTTATTATGAATCAGCATGATCATTATCATGTAAGCACGATTCCTCAATTAATTGGAATGTTCATGTTTAAGAATGAAAAATTTATGGTAAAAGTTAATGTTGAGAATATGAGAAACTGTAAGAAAATGTTTTCTCGAATAAAAATTATTCTCGTTTATCAAGCAACTTGGAGACGTGAAACAAGTTCCCTGTGATTATTGTACTTGATTATGATTTACTAATGACATGAGGGTTTTCAAGGTAATCATTTTACTTTATCATTTATATCTTATGGTCAATTTAAAAGCAGGTAAAAGATGGAAACAATGAAGAGGCTCAGTTGCATCTAAATTGATCAGCTTCATTAATCAGCAATGGAACCAAATATATCCAGTATATCATGATAATTCACTAATCGAGACAAATTTCCAAATAATCTTCCGTTGAGATATTTTCTCAGCGATCAACTGAGAGGAAAATTTTCTGATCAAAATTGTCAATTTGTTTCGGTACAATAAATGATCATTGTTTGTTGAAAAATGATTCTCAATGCATTTTCATCATCCGTTGAATCTAATCAATTTGTTGTGGCACTAAGAATCCAAAAATTACTTGATTATGTCAAATGAAAAATGATATTTGTCATTGATTTAAATGAGTCAATTAAAACATTAGGCTAGGTTCCGTTATGTTAGATCAATTGATCTACTTTAGTCATTTTAAGTCAAGCGATGAGCTGAAGTTTACTGGATTATGATTTTCGTCTTTGTTATCACAATGATTTAAAATAACCCGATGATGTGATGAGCTCCGACTCGGGCTGAGACAAGGTTTAATTATCGGAGCGTAGCAAAGCGAAGTGAAGATTTTAACTCAGCTTAGCCATTTTGAAAATCGTCTTTTTGGTTTCTGTCAGCGGCCATATCACCTAACCCACTTGCCTGAATCACTTGAAACTAAAAATATACTTCGAACAATTTGTGCAGATGTGCTGAAAAGACTTTCAAGGCCATCAGAGGTGATTTTTCGGGAATTCGACTTTTGACCTTGAGAGGTCATTTGAAGGTCATTTATATATTTTTGATGCTTTTTCATCATACTCACAAAAGATCATCATTATGGTACATATATTTGAACTGATATGGCTGTAAACACGGGCAAATACTGAAAAAATCATATTAAATGTGCTTCAACGAACCATGTTAAATGATTTGTGCATTGATCGTTACCCACTTTTTCGCATCAGATGATCATAAGTTATGATTCAGTCAAATATTTGAGAGGATTTAAAGTGAATAGTTGCAAAGGCCTCATAGGTAGAAAGATTGAAGTTCGAAATATAGATGCTTTAAATGATGACGAAAGAAGTTAGAGGAAGAAAATGAAGTCGTTTGACTTCGTAAATTCTGGCATAAATTATCAAAACAGAAAAGCTTCCGTTGTAAGTTGAAACAGATCGTGAGTATTCTGAGTTCCAACTAGGACCTGGTCAATATTTAGCAATTAACATTTGAATCTATCAAATTGCCAAATGTTTCTTTTAGCGAGTAAATTTTACGAAACATTGCAATAAAAATACGATAGATTCAATCTGTTCTAACGCTCCGATTTCGGCGAGCGATCGTCTGACCTAGTTCAACTTTGAATCAGTAAATAGACTGAAGAAAAGTATTGATCAGAATAAACCTTAGTCATGAAATTACCAAAGCGATGGTTAGATTAGATTAGGCTGGGTTAGGTTAGTCAAAGTTCACCAGATTAACGAGCTTTTGACACTTGCCACAATAATAACTTGAAGAACTCTGAATCAGCCGAAATAATTTTTCTTTATTAACTTTGGATATTTTGTGTCTTTAGTTTGCTAAATGCATCAAACTTGAGGTTCATTATTAGTTATTTTTTGTATCAATGGACATTCTTAATGATTAAGATGAAATTAACAGTGTAATGGAAAGCAAAACAAAAGGTACAAAATGATAAAATCACGATCATCTAATGATCATAATAATGATAGTCTTACATTATTTCCATTCATTTTCCTTCTTCTTTTACTCTGTAATTATTATTCAAGAACCTTGCATCCTTATCATTGATAAACTTTAAGCTGATCAATATGAAAATGACTGTTATTAATAAAGCGTGAATTAAGTTAATCATTATATATTCATATCAATGTTTTTTGCCAAACAATTACAATTGATTGTTGAGAGACTTTTCCTTCATTTGGTTTGCTTTTTCCAGTGTGTTTCATCGATAATAATTGTGATCTAAATTGATTTATTGTTCTTTTGGCTTATTTATTTGTTGCTATTAATATTTGGAAGAAGCAGAAAGAGTCAATCAGCAAAATATAACAAGTTAAGCCAATCAATAGAATGCAATCAATCCACAGAAATTAGGTTCCATGATAAATCAATTCACATCCTCTCAATCAAACATTAAGATGAAGTACAAAAGCAACCAAAACTCAGGCTCAACATTGGCTTTGTGACAACAAGTGCTACAAGTGAATCTGGTAAACGAAAGTCAAAAGTGTGTTAACTCTACAACTAAAGACGATTTGATTCCAGTAAAGATTTCAGTTTTAATTCAAAGTCATTTGCATTTCAAGACTTTTGGTCAATTGACAGTTGCTGTTGATTCTTAGTGAAGTTATTATGCATTCAAAACGGACATTCATTAAACTCGCCCAAATAGTTGCAGTAAATATTAATTTGTGTTTAATATTCTAATAACGAGAATAATTTAAAGATTTAACTTTTAATTTCATTCTCACTAACCTAGTAACACTCAAATCACTTTCACAACTGACGACGAAAATGATGAGCGCTTATTGAGGGATTATTTTATGTTATTAAGGTCAACAGCAGATCAACAGTCAAGCTTAACCCACTCCAAGTGTTAAGCTTATTCACTTGATTCGTTCGTGTTAAGGTGCGATACACGGAGTTGACTTAATGCTATACTTCAAAAGCACGACTCGTTTCATTTGAATTATGAAAAGTCTAACAACATCGCCAGCACCAATTAGCAATAACTTTGCCTTATTTCATTCCCTTTATTTACTTGTTTACCATTTAATGTATTTTCATTTATGCAAAATGCTTCTGGGCTAATCAGTAATATATGCAAATTGAACATCAATCAGTTGAATAAAATAACAGTGAAACCAAAAGAATATTGAAATTATCAATTTCCCTTTTCAAATATTAACATATTTTCAACTTTTCGTTTTGCTGCTTTTTCATCATTAAAACATTGTACAAAGTATTTGCATTTTAACTTTCAAACAATTTACAAAACAATCAAAAGAAGCGAGAAAAGCAAAGAAAGTGAAAGTTTCCAAAAGTACAAATGAAAGAGTTGAATAATGAATCGAAAAATTTGCTTCTCAGAATTATTTCTTGGCGATTCTTTCATTCCATAATGGAAATATAAATTAACCAATTTCACGATTATCTAACCAGGCATCAATCAAACTCAATGAAAGTTTCAACATTTCCAGGTTGCCTTTAACTTGAAATACTTCGGAATTTTTATGATTCATTTTCTAACGATTTCTAAC